CGTACTTGAAGGAACTTAGATTCTCCTGGAAAACCACAATGAAAAGTGCAATAATGAACAAATTACAGTCATATCTGTATCAAGAGATGCTTTGGTAATTGATTTATTTTAAGAAAAAAATGAGGATCATCTGAAAATTAATACTGCAATTTAAATACTGTGTATTTTCAAATTCAAACAATTATTTAACGTGCCGATTTTATCCAGTTTCTCCTTTGTATTACACAAAAACATAGACAATGAATTTATTCATTATAGTCTTTATATTGTATTTTACTACAGAAAAACCTTAATTGTTATTAAGTCTCTGCATATGAGAGGCAGGAATTCATCTCCAGTTGATCAACCTGTTGGTTTGTTGGCAGTATAGCTCACACACAAAAAAAACATGCGGCCCGGGGTAAAGGAAGAAATATTGAGTTTAGGGGTGATGTGCTGTCAAGGGAGTGATCTCAGGTAAAAAAACAAACAAAACAAAAACAACCTCAAATGAAGAACAAGGTGTAGCAGCAAGCCGAACAGCTGTTTTAGCTGCTGGTGGTGGAGAATACACACCAAGGAAAACCTAGTAGGTAGGTATTTAGACAGTCCTTAGACAGGGGGGTTTACTGCAAATGTTTAACTCGATCATACAGTCTGTGGTATTTCAACAAAAAACAAAACAATACAAAAGTTAAAAAGCAGGGGTGTGTATTAAAAAACATTATGTGTCAAATTCAAACCTGAAATTTGTGAATTCCGTTGATTTGAGCAAACTCCATGTTATTGTCAAACAAGGCCTTGGCGATGATGTCCAGGACACTCTGCCACTGTGCACAAGAGAAAAGGCAACAAAACAGGTCAGATCCAAACTCGATATCGCCAAAGTAAGCCTTGAAGAGTGCGGATAGTTTACTGTTACCGTGGAGAAGACGAGACATTTGGCCCCGGGGTTGGTCACTTGAATCTTTTTCAGAGTTCTCACAACTGCCTCCACTTTGGTAGAGTGACTTCCCTGACAACACAGGAAGAGGAACGTTGTCATGGCTGTGTTATACATTTATTTTTTTGTTTACAGGTATCCGGCCATCTCTGCCTGCATTACATGAAAATGGGGTCGCTGGCTGACCTTGACTGGTATGTCTTGGTCCTGACTGGATGATTGGGTGGTGAACACGTAAGAGATTTCTGTGTGGGATGTAGTCTGCCTACAAATGGCACACTTGATGGCACGCCGCCTTGAGCCCACGCTGTACTGTTCCACAATGATAGCAATACACTCGTTACAGAAGCAGTGTCCACACGTCAGCACGGCCCACTGGAAAAGAGAGAAGAGCGAGATATTATTCTAAAGTATGAATAGCAGAGTATGGATAACTGTTTTCATTAATTACAAACACTCGCTAACCACTTCATTAGGTACACCAGTTGAGCTGCTTATTAATACAAATATCTAATTAGGCAATCATGTGACAGCAACCTATTCCATTTAGGCAAGTAGACACGGTCAAGATGACCTGCTGAGGTTCAAACTGAGCATCAGAATGGAGAAGAAAGCAGATTGTAAGTGGTTTGTTCGAAAATGCTAGACGGGCTGGTATGAATATTTCCCAAACTGATGATCTACTGAGATGTTCCCACCAACCAAGATGTATAAGAAGTAGTGACTCTCACCTCCTGTCCCAGGGGCCGAGCACAAATGGGACACGGCTCTGGGTTCAGACCTCCAGTAGACTTGTCCTGCGACTGGATCAAGAAATGTATGTTGTTCAGAGTAAGCTCACATAATACATTTAGCTGGGGTAACATTAGGAATTGTGTAATTACTATCACCTATAAAATTACCTTTTCCAGATTTGTGAGATACAAAAACTGGCCGAGCTTCTTTTGGAGCTGAGATTTCGCCACAGCTTGGTCGTTCAGAAGTTTGACTCTGTTCTGCTCCACCTGGGAGCAAAACAATCGAGAGGAGGGGTCAGGTAATGAAAAATATCTATATTATATGTAGAAACCCACTGATCCAACAATAACTTATGAGAAAACTCGGGGACAGTGAAGAACCCCGCCTTAAATCTCTGCAGACAGTTAGTCTATGAAGCAAAGTAACTCTGCAAAGAGCCAATCGTTTAACAGTCCTAATAACAAGTCAGTCATGTTGTCACAACTTGCATAAATTATCTTTTACCAGACTGACATAAGCGTGCAGCTACGCTAAATGAGTGTCACTGTCTTTAACTCGCCTCGTGGGGCTCTATGATGTGCGGCAGTTTGGGCTTTGGTTCATCAGGCAGACGCACACGTAGCCTCTCGGTGGCCATACCCAGCTCATCGATGGCTGACACATGATTACGCAGCACCATCCAGTACTCGTGCAGCACCTGAGGACAAACACCAACACCAAAACAAAGACTTAAAGAAAGAATTTTTGTTAAAGTGACTCCTCATAATACATATATTAATACCAAATGCCTATTGGAGCCCTACTGGAAAAATGCAGCTTTTTAAAAAACAAAAGATGCTCTTGTTGTCGTTTGTCCTTGTAATGTTGTAAGTGTGCCTACAAACCTTGTACTCCTTCTTCCAATTCTCAAACAGTTCCATAAAAGTGTTTCCTTCCTCCACCAGGTCTGGGTCCATGCGTTTAAGTTTGGCAAAAGACAAGATGGCCTTCAAAGTGCGTTCTGTCTCACTGGCTGCCCACAGACCTCGGCTAGTGGTAGGGAGACGGTCGTCGACCAGCCCCTCTTCATCCTCGATCATTTCTTCAAAGATGGCTGTCTGACCTTTGACGCTGTGGAGGAATTTTACTGATTAATCACCGCTTGGTTATGTAATCTGATTGATGATGGATCTAAAAACACTGCTCTACTTACGTGTGAGAAAACAGCTTGGACTCGTAATCTATAAAAAGTTCATCCGCTTTGCAAAAAACACAGCTAGAAAATGACAAGACAGATATTAGGTAAAATAAGTTTCAGAGTATTTACAAAGTGTTATGTAGCACAAGGAAAAGCTGTTATATAACCTCCACATAACTTTATAAACTGAACATTTTAAGGTTTCTAACAGTGCTTGTACGAAGCTGCAAAATGCTGACGACATACTTGTTGAGTGGCAGTCGCATTGGCCTGAGATGACAAACTGTGGCCTCCTCTATAACTTCTTTCGAGGCCGGACCCTCAAGACTTTTCACTGCATCTTGCACGGTCTTTTGAGATTTCATCAGGTCCTGCATTTGCGTGGTGAGCAGAAACTGCAGACCATAGGCATCACGGAACCTGCAGGACACCAGACACTTGAAGCATCCTGGTTTTTTGATAAGTTCAAGGTAACTGCTTGCAACCACCATGCAACTACTCGGAACTACTTGATAAAAAAAGTGCTTACTTGTCTGCCATGGAGAGCTTGTGGGCTTGTTGTTTGTAGCTGGACGTCAGCTCATTCTTGATGCGGGACACCAGGTCGTCATCAGTGGAGCAGCGAACTGCCCTCTGGATAACATCCAGCCACCAGGGAGAGTTCAGCTTGACCTTGAGAAAGATAGATAATCATAGTGATATTCAACTACTTTAACTGTTTGTGTAAGTAACGAGTAGAATGCCAATTATGGTGCCATTAGCTACATTTACTATTTTCTTTTTATTAAAATAATTTGATCAGTAAGCTCCAATTTCCTGCTGTGCAGTTTTCTTTTTGCTGTGCTAATTTGTTGGAGTTCATTAACAGATCAAAATAAATGTCATTTTAAATACATTTCAAGTAAGTTCATTTTAGCAGCTGCAGAGGATGTATATAAAAAGGCAATCAATGCAGAAATTTTATGATCTTAAGATATTGGTTTTGCACTCCTAAACATCACTTATGTCTCTCTTTATATATGTAATCTTTTCATAAAATATGTAATTTCACCGAGTGTAAAGAAGTTCTCACTTTTCGCTTCAGCTCTTTTATGTTCTGCAGCACCGGCTGCAAAGCCTGCCGAGCATCCGCGACCTCAGAGTCGTATTTGGTCATGTAGTGCTGTCGCAGCTGCTCGGCCTACAGAGACAGGGAGAATGAAAAAACTGCAGTAGTAATTCTTAAAACACAGATTTGATTTAAAAAGAAGAAAAATAGATACATTCTGACAGTATAATATATATTTGTGAATCACCTCTTCATCTAGTCTGTCATCTCTGAGGGTAGGAGGAATCCCACGATGCTTTGCGCTTAGCAGCT